CTGCGCATGTATCTACAAGTGCAGGTAATTTTTATTTTTTATATATCCCTCCCCTTCTCTCTCCTTGTCTTTAGTCTCGCCCCTGTAAAGGTTTATAATACACTGCCCTTCTCCCTCTCCACTCCTTCTCTATCTTTCTCTCTCTTGTGTGTGTGCGGGTGTGCATTTGTGTGTGTGTCTGTGTGCCTGTGAATATGTGTAGAAGTTACAGATGCAGCGTACATTGCGTCCACACCGCTGAAACCCAACTCTCGGTTCAAGCAGTGGAGTGATACGAGAGTGGATGAAATGAGGACCTTCATTGGCATATTGTTGCTAACGGGCCTCCTAAAAAAACCTGACATCAATTCGTCGTACTGGTGTAGGGATCCGTTGTTTACTACACAAGTATTCAACGCAGCAACGCTACAAGACTGGTTCCTTCTCTTGATGAAGTTCTGGCATTTGAACAACAACAGAGATATACAACATGCCAGCTGCTGATGCTCCCCGGAGGGATCGCCTCTTCAAGCTTCCACCTGTCCTGGACCACCTCTTACAACGTTTCCAGGCTGCATTTGAACTTGGTCAGGATATAACGATCGACGAGTCCCTACTGCTATGGAAAAGCCGCTGGATGTTCAAGCAGTAGGCCTACATTCCACTCAAGCGTGCCAGATTCAGCATAAAAGTCATTCATGATGTTACGTGACAGCAGCGGATACACGTACAGATTTCGAGTGTACACCGGAAAGGACGAAAACACAGAGGCAATGAATGAAATTCTGCCAGAAAGTTGAGCCAGCATGGGGTGTTCCACGAAAGAGGAATTCCTCCCTACACTGGCTCTTTTGAAAAAGGGGCACAAGTTGTTTGTCGACAACTGGTACTCATCGATGGACCTATTCTCATTTCTTTACCAAAAGGGTATTTTGAGTTGCGGGACTTTGAGAGCAAATAGAACGCCACTTTGCCTTCAGCAGATCCAAAACCCAAAAATGCCAAACAGAGAGCTGCATCAGCGAACCACTTCTGGCCCAAAAGTTTGTAGACAAGCGAGACTTCTACATGTTGACGACTTGTCATCCACCATAGGGCACTGGAGAGAATTCCGAGAAGCCTCCAGCGATTGTGGAATACAATTTTAAAAATGAGTGCAGTTGATCGCCACGATGAGATGTTGCAGCCTTATGATGCAACACAGAAGAGTCTGAAGTGGTACAAGAAGCTCTGTATCCTCTTCACGCAGATTGGACTTCTGAAAGCCTTCATCCTATATCAGAAGGCTGGCAACGAAGGCACCTTCCTGTCATTTCAGAAAGATGTCATATCTGACCTCATCTTCCGTGATGGCAATCCCATAGATGCTGTGGAGGATGACCACAGCGTTAAGACTCTACAGTCGGTACTTCGTTGAGGTTTTGCCAGAGACGGAAAAGAAAGCAAGGCCATAGACGAAGTGCCGTGAGTGTGCACGGAAGGGCACGCGAAGGGACACCCGCTATTATTGTCCCGACTGCCCAAGCAAACCAGGCCAGTGCTTGGTACGGTGCTATAAAAAGTACCACGCCGAGCGTTTCTTCTGGCGTCAGTAATCTGCTGGCACCCTGAGTAAATAACTGTAAACAATGTGAATACCTGTGCGTGTGTTGTTTTTTTTCTCTTGGAATATCTGTGCTACATATGTCTGTGTTTTCTGGCTTGGACTACGATCTGGATTACCTTCAACAAGTCTCCATATCGTAGTCTGGTAAGAAAATCTTAAATTTTTCAGTTGTTTCTTCTATCTCTTGTCTTTCATCATCCTTAACTTTTTTTATTCTTTCATATTGTGTTTTGTCTTTAGTATGACTGAAAAGTTCATTCAATTTTCCTTTAAAATGATAAATACAAATGGTATGTATTTGGTGCATTACCACAGAGTAAATAGCACTCTGAAAGGGTCACCCAGTTTGAAGAGCTATTCCTGGAAATAAGGTCATAATAGGCGGGGAATATAGGTCAGCAGTGTAGGGGTTATTCAAGTGCTGTTGAGGTTTCAAAGTGAAAAGCCACTGGCACATACCCAGCACACTTCCATCTTCAAGGAGCTCCAGGGTTTCTACAGAGGTTTCATCAAGCCTTCCAAAATTCCTGAGTACAATGCCAGAGATCTAGCTGAATCGGACCGCAGGGAAGAAACAATCTAGTTAACCAATAAATCTCAGTCAGTCGGTCCTGATGCATATGAGGATCATATGATCATGCAAAAGGATGTGAAGTTCAAATCCTGGTTGGCTAATTTCCACAAAGCCCCCTTAAAAGGATATATCAATGGTTGTGAAAAGCTGAAGAACTTGCCTGTAAGTAATAAGACTTTGATTCGCCTCTCTGCTTTATCACCTGAAATGCAGAGGACTGACTCAACGCCCCAAGCACTTATGAATCTAGCAAAATCACTGCCACAAGTTCTACATTCATTAGAGCTTGGTGCCCTTGATCAAGAGCTGAGAGAGTATGTCACTGACAAGCTGATGTCTCTCGTGCCTCCTGACGAAGATGAATTGGGCATCAGAATTGATTCTGACTTGTATTGTCACCTGCTCAACATCAAAGTTCAAGAACAACCAAAGTATCCAAAACTAAGTACTTAAGTGAAAGCAACTCTGTCTTGTTTCAGTGGACCTATTGTTGAAGGGACTTTCAACATAATGGATGATATTCTGGAGGACAGAACCAGAATAACTGCACAAAACTTTGAGGCTCTTCTCTCTGTGAAACAGACATTGAAAGCCTCTGGGTGTACTGCGACAACTTATCTAATCTCCGTTGACATTAGAAGTACGATCTCACAATCATATGCAATGTCCATAAAAGATCAGACCAAAACCCCATCAGTGAGGTCCAGAAAAATGAAAGCCTCCATTACTGACCAGTCACAACCTTCATCAGTCTCAAACCAACCCCTGCCTTCATCATCAGTCTCAGTCTCAGACCAACCCCTCACTTCACCATCAGTCTCAGACCAACCCCTGCCTTCATCATCAGTCTCACACCAACCCCTCACTTCATCATCAGTCTCACACCAACCCCTCACTTCATCATCAGTCTCACACCAACCCCTCACTTCATCATCAGTCTCACACCAACCCCTCACTTCACCATCAGTCTCAGACCAACCCCTCACTTCATCATCAGTCTCAGACCAACCCCTCCGTTCACCATCAGTCTCAAACCAATCTCTTGCTTCATCGACACCCAATTTGACAGCCTTAGGCAATCTCCAAGACCCTTAAATAAAACTAAGACCACCAACATGACTGCCTTCTTTAAGAAAGTGTGAGCTTGGACTATGCCTCCTTGTGGATAAGGAGTAAGAATGGTATCCACTGCTGGACCCTAGGATGCATCGTAAAAGGCGACTAAATGGTTCAACGAGCAACATTCAGACGGCAAGGTAGGAAGAGTTTTCATATCTTTTTTTATTTCAGGGTTGGGAAAATTTTGGATCTGGGTTTTCAGGGCTTGAAAAATTTTTCACTGGCACCCATGCCCGGGAGGTGAAATCCCAACAGTTACGATTTTATCGTAGCGGTTGGCCACTATGAAAATGTAGATTTTCAGTTTCCATAAAAATATCCAGGCTTTGAAAGTCGGCCAATTTTTTGCTAATTTAACCCCTAACACCAGGCGACCCTGGCTTCCTTCAGTCGCACAAATCTCGACTTCTATTCAAGATACATGGGTATTTTGTTTCATCAAAAGCAAGTTCTAAGATGGTACCAGTAACTTTATATGCCCTAAAACTGACGAGCACTTGTTTACTCAGAATCATGACATATTTATATGTTATATTAATAATTTTATAACAGCCAACACAAAAGATTCAATGCCAGCTTGTTCAGACATTGGAGACGCACAAATACAGCTGACTACACTCACAATACAGTCAATTTAAAAAAGACTTGGAGAAAATGTTTTATGCCCTAATTGACACAAATTAGAACATTAAAGAGGTGGGTTGTTTCAATCTTGCTTGCCAAGGACTACCTGGGCTGAAAATGAAATGGTCATCATACGCAGACCTGCCACTCTATGAAATCTAAAAATCAGGATTTCATAGTAAAAAAATCAGGATCAACGGCAAATCAGTCGTAAGGGGCACTGGGGAAGGGGGTCCCGGTTCCCTTTTATGAGGCAAGCATGCAAGATAAAATTTTCGCAGGAATAAGCTCCCATTTGGTACTCAAAGTAGAGGAAAAACTGAAAGAGAGTGGGATACAACATCTTACCACTTTGCCGTCACATCTCGCCGATGTCTACCACCCAGTTTCTTTAGATTTCCCCCAAAATGCCTTTGCCTTTGATTACAAGGTTTTTTACTAAATGAGCCTTGTCATAGCAAAGTGTTCAAAGCCATGCAGAGATACTTAATAAATAATAATCAACTTTCTCCACTAGTTGACTGACTCACATCTTCAGCGCTATAACGGCTTAGAAGAGCATCCCCATTACACGAGAGCAGCTATGTCTTGGAAACCAACTGCAGCTATGGCTCCGACAATTCTAAAACAAAAGAAAGGACCAGAAAGGTCATGTAAGAGAGAACCCTGATCGTAAAAGCCGTTCAGATTGTTTGAAAAGCTCAACAAAAAAAAAGGGGGGGGGGAGGGGGGGGGGACCACTCATTCGACGACAACTTGGATGTCATCAGGCAGGCAACAATCAAGGTCAATCAGCACATTTTCGCTGCCTGTTCCAACACCGAGTAAAAAATAAAAAATTGGTAGGTCTACCCGTACTTGTACGGGTTTATCTCCCCTTTCAATGTTGTAAAGCTACGTTACAGGGAATGTCGTCATGTCTTTTCTTTGATAGGGCTGAGCCTTGAAGACTTCCTCCTAAACAACCCAAATTTAAGAATGCCTCATCTAAATTTGCGCAGAACAAGGACACCAAGGCACTAGGGCGTTTACCAAGATCCGTCAAACCCATCAGAAATATTACAGGGTTACGCACTACATAGATGTACAGTGATTTCATTTTGTTTCAACAGCATAGCACTGTTCCTTTAATTTAAACAGCTTTATGTCCTGTCAAAACTCCCCTGAGGGGGTGGCAGAAATGGATGGCACTGATACCCCCAACAAATCTGAATGAACACAACATTCACAGCAGTTTTTCTTGTTTTGATAAAACAAAAAACCCCAACATAAAAGATCCTCTCAGGAAGCAAACAGCTTCTCTTTCCCAGAAGTATTGCTCTCTAAAGCCTGACACTTGAGCTGAGCAGTTGCGATGTCCTCCAGAGATTTCTGGATAGTTTTCAGCAGCTTCTCTCCTCTGTTGACAATCTCTTCCAGCTTCTCCGCTTCTTCTTGGTTTTCAAACTCCAACTTCTGCAAACTTGCAACCTGTGGAAGAAAAAAAAAACAACAAAAAACCCAAAAAGATTAACCACGATTTGAAACATAAGAGTTACGAGTACAAAAACTCTTGACCTTAAAATAAGCCTTTTAAGACGAGAAGTTCCAACTGTTTTGGTCAAGGACTAAAAATTGGTCAGACTGTAATTTTAAGTCTCAACCTCAACTCAAAGTTTCCACTTTCTTTTCTAAAGCCACTCAATTTATTGCCACTAAGAGGCTCTCTTCAACCTAACATAATATAAGACAAAGACATTGTAAGGATCAGCGTACACACCCATAGTAAAACATCATTACAGTCTATATTTCCAAAGGAGTGAATCACTTAAAGTGATGCATCTAACAACAACATTTCAAGATGACTGGAAAACAGGCAAGATTACTTACTGCTCAACACCATCAGTAAAGCACATTTTTATCTCTAAAAATCTCTTGTACAAAATTTCGCATATCTTAACTTAAATCTTTTTTTCTTCTTTGGATTCTAGAATCTGAGGAGCATGTGATCAACTTCCCCCAAAAAGCTCTTCAAAACTTTAACCAGCTTTGTGCATCCAACCAACATTACATCAAAATAATATATATGTGAGGCAGCGTGGTGAAATCAGGCGCTCGTCAAAATAATGAAAGTCAAGAAATCTGCATTTTCCCGAAGGTTTTGGAGTTTTTATAGGATTTTTGTTTTTTGGTTCAACACGTTTCATGCTCTTTAAAGAGCACTCAGCACATTTAGGTGTGGAATTTACCGAAAAACTTTGATTTATGGCAAAAGAAAGTTTCCACGGACTCTCAAGCTAAAGAAATAACTCAACTTTGGCGGTCATTTTCTCACTGAAACCAGACAACCCTCACCTCCTCCAATCACACATTTCTCGACTTCTATTCAACATATATGGATATTATTTTCACCCAAAACACGAAGAAAAGGACAGGCCTTAAGATGACACCATCAACTTCGTACGCCCAAAAGTTGACGAGAGCCTGATTCCACCACGCTGTGCCACATATACATACATTCTCTGATATACATTTTAGTTTTTCCTTGCTCTGGGTCAGGCAGAACACTTAATGAAAGCTGCATTTCTTCAAAGGAAGCCATGAGTGTTAAACTGTTCAAGATACATGTTCACATATAACAACTGAGCTTGCTGCTAAAAGAATGGTGAGGGGAATGAGACAGGGGTAGCATTTTTATAAGGAACTTGACAAGTGAAAGTCTGTGAGACAAAATGGATTATCTCGAATATTCAGACTTTAGTTCTTTTAATTTAACCTTTAAGTCATGAGTGAGATTTCTAAACTTAACTGCCTTAAATAAATCATTTGGTCACAAGATGTAGGCCTACTGTAATCAATGATTTTTATACACAGCTTCCTTTCAGTTTATTCTCCAACAAAATGCTTATTGTGAATAAAAATATAGTCTTCTCTATTCTTCATAAAAACACTTTTTATCATTTAGCCCTTCAATAAAAGTAGGACAATAGATATGTTCACCTTCCACTCGCCTCCTTAAATTTATCTCATGAACCCCCTACTCCTTGTTTTAGTAAGAGTTTTATGGCATTTGCAACACAATAAGGTCAAATAAATGCTGAAGGTTAGAGGTGTTACAAGAGAGTAACAAACACAAAATAGAAGGAGGGGAGATAAGGACGATAGATATTTTGATAGGAAAGGAGTAAACTACACTCCGAACCTGTAACTCTGTGGAAGAGTCCTCACTAGGCAAAGCATCTATCAGCACGTCAATGTCTTTCGCTGTGCGGGTTATCAACTTGGCAAACAGTACAGGATAATCTGAAATTAAAAGAGAAAAAGATTATTATTATTTTGTTCAAGAAAACGACAACTACAGCAGAAATAAATAAGATAAGGAAAGGTAAACCTTCATATATACCTAAATATATATGCATCCATAAACAAGATCCAGGGTTCACTTCACAACCAGAGTCAGCTCATGACATAAGAAGCTACATTTGAAGTCATCAAAAATCATATAACTTAATAAGTATCCTGAAGGCAAAACATAGCACGAAAAAAAATTGACATACACCGACTAAATTGCTAAATTTTCAGCACAGCCAGTTTTTCTTAACTAAACAGCGTTTACATAAATTATAACTCCTCAATTATGGTATTACAAAACAATATATTAGAAATCTAATTCTTCAGTTGAGGTGCTACAATGTGAAGATATAATAAAAATAATAATAATAGATAGCATTTGTATAGCGCATATCCCCGCTCAGCAGCAGGCTCTATGCGCTTTACACTATATTATTACCCCAGCAGACCATAGAACACTCCGAGAATTTCTCAGCTTCCCGGGAAGCATACAGTGCAAGCAGCCGATTAAGCGCTCAAACACTAACAAACTGACAAGATCTTTCGCTGTCTATATGATCAGGTCACAGCAGAAAATGAGACTTCAGTCACTATTGGGCATTAAACCGAGCAAGAAATTTCACTGATTTCTAAAGGAAAAAAAATTACAAAATTCTTCTTCGACACGAGTAAAAACAGGTAAAAGGGGGAAACAGATTTCTTGGATTTCATTATTTTGATGAACGCCAGATTTCAGCAGAATGTCTCACACTATTCATTTTGCAAGTAGAACAAAATTACACTTCTCACCTTCTTGGGGAGGTGGGGAAGGAGGTTTCCCGCCAGGTTTTTCAAATCCGGGGAAGGGACTGCTTGGAGCAAACTGCTGCAAGATTCCAATACTGTTGTAGAAATGCTCAGCTTGCTGTAATAAAAGGAGAAAGAAGAAAGAAAGTAACTAAATGCAACAGTCTACACAATTCTGTAAGAAATCTTCCAACCAACTTACGGAATTATTAAGATTTTTCTTACTTTCTCTGATTGGGTAAACAAATAAATAAATCATTTGTAGTTAAACTTGACAGAATATGAACGTTTATCTCTTATAATTACATAGCAAAAGTATAGAACTCCCAGCTTTTATAACTCTTGATCAGTACCTGTAAACTGTGTACTGAAAACAGCATCAGAGAGAAATAACAAACTCCTAGCCTTCTGGAATACCAATGTGGTTAGGTACAATAGATTCAAAGGTTCCCACTCTGTCCTAAGTCTAAGGCGGACCACATTATATTAAATAAATTCAATGGCCACCTCTATTGTTCTCACCCCGGGTGAGAATAGTGCAGGCGAGTCTTTTGACTATTCTCATCCGGTGTGCGTTCATCGTTATAGCCTAGGCCAACCAGTGTAGCGTTCACCCTGAACCACAGAATTCTACACTGTGATAATAACAGAATTGTAGAATTCTGTGCCGTGAACAAACGTCCCATTACTACTGTTAGCCTGAAAGCGTGCAATTTAGTCTGTGAGCAGTGTGGAGAGAGAGAGAGAGAGAGAAAGAGAGAGAGAGAGAGAGAGAGAGAGAGAGAGAGAGAGAGAGAGAGAGAAAGAGAGGAGTAGCGCGAGAACTTTCGGGCAAAACAAAATGGCGACCCGTGTAGTGTGGCTCGATTAGAAAAGTTAAATAGCTAGCATCTTTGTAGACGACAAAATTAATTTACTTTTATGTTTTAAACATTATTTTTTAACTTTGTTTTGGTCAATTTGATCTTCCACACAGATAGACAGTATTCAGAAAGAGACAGAGAGAGAGAAAACAAAATGGCGAACCGCGTAGTTCGGCTCGATTCGAAAAGTAAAATAGCCATAGCATCTTTGTACACGATCAAATTAGAGCTTACTTTTGTGCTACGTAATTTTTTCTTGGCTTTTATCAATTTGATCATCCACTCCGATAGACAGTATTCAAAAATGAGGAAAAAGAGGTCTTGTTTCACACCGGGTTAGAATGGCCAACGCTGGCGAGTCTCACCCGGGGTGAGAGGTAGATCGTATTTTTATTCTCACCCCGGGTGAGGATAGCCACTTCCAAATTCAATAGCCAATGCGGTCTCTGGTTTCATTTTTTATCTTCATTATTTCCTTCCTTCCCAGATCTGGAACTATTTTTCTAAAACTGAACAAAATACAAACCAGATAAATCATAATACCCATACTAAAAACTATAACAATATAAAAGAGCTAAACTGACCTGTGTTACAGAATCCTGCAGTTGGGTCAGCCTATCCGCCATCCTGATCTTGACTCACGATTCTTGTTTTATACTTCTTGGATTTGAAATTGAATCTTGACCGACCTGTTGAAAAAAAAAACAACCCAAAGTAAAACTGCAGAGCTAGAAAAAATGAAAAAGGGAAAAAAGTTGTTTAAATGGAAGCGCCTATTTGCAACGCCGTGTGGTGATTAGCGCCAGTGCTAAATAAACCGCTGCGTTGCGATTAACGCCAGCGCATCTGCATTTAAAGCCAGACAAGTATTTTATGAGCGTGGGTTCGATCCCGGTCCTGGAATTAAAAAAAAAAATTTTTTCCCTCTTCTCGGCTGACCAACAAATTTTTCCCTTAATTATAACTCGTTGCTTTGTAGTTTTTTTTTTACGTAGTGATGAAGCTTGCACATTTTGGTTTTGTCCCCAAGAGGAGCTCTCTATGTACAAAGTAGGCCTTAGTACAGACTTTCCTATTATACTTTTCCTTTTACCAATTTCGAGTCCTGGTTAAAGTTCAATAGTGGCTTTCCTTGGTCTGTGACTGTAAATTTCAGGCTCAGGAGAAGATTTTAAAAAAGGGAGTGTATACAGACCCGGTAACCAGAAACAAAGTCACAAAGTATACAGACCCGGTAGGGGAACTCTTTTGTGATTTTCGGAAAGTCTCAGCGCCCTCTTGGCTCAGGGTAGACCTAGGTTCTTCTAGATCTATGACCTAGGTCTAGACACCTAGACAGACAGACATAAATCATTGATCTGGTTTCGAGACTAGCCTTGGCTTGGGCTAGATCTAAAAGTTGAAGGAATCACAATTTGAAGAAAAAACAATGTCATAATTTCAATCGAGCAGTGACCCTCTCTATTTCTCTGCCTCTCTCTCTTTCTCTCTCTCCTCTGTGTATCGCTCGCCTACTCTTTTTCTTTGTGTCTCTGTCTTTCTTTCTCCCCACCTATTTCCCACTCTATCTCTCGTTCCCTCCTGCAAGCTGGGGCATGTCACACTCTCTCTCTCACACACACACACACTACCAGGTCTGGGCCTGGACTGGGCGTTGAAACTTTCTGAAATCACAAAAGAGTTCCCCTACCAGGTCTCTGTGTATTATGTATACTCCATGACTTTGTTCCCAGTTACCAGGTCTACTGTGATACACTTGGACGGACACTTCGTTAAAAAAAGGCCACCTCTATTCTCACCCGGAGTGAGAATAGTGCAGGTGAGTCTTGTGGCTATTCTCACCCGGTGCGCGTTCACCAAATTTTGCGTCAACCCTAAACCACAGAATTCTACACTGTGATAACAGAAAAATTGTAGAATTCTGTGCCGTGAACAAACGTTCCATTCTGTAGCCTACTAAAAGCGTACAATTTTGTCTGTGGGCAGTGGAGAGAGAGAGAGAAAGAGAGAGAGGAGTAGCGTGAGAATTTCCGGGCAAAACAAAATGGCGACCAGCGTAGTTCGGCTCGATTCGAAAAGTTAAATAGCCGTAGCATCTTTGTAGACAACCAAATTAATTTACTTTTGTGTTTTAACATCATTTTTTAACTTTGTTTTGGTCAATTTGATCGTCCACACCGATAGACAGTATTCAGAAAGAGACAGAGAGAGAGAGAAGAGGGGAGGAGTTGATCTTGCAAGAACTTCCAGGCGGGTGAGAATAGCCACTTTCTTTTAAAAAAAACTTCCGGGACCAGGTCCAGGACTCGATGCAACGCTTGGAAGCACTGAATATTAGACTTGATAGATCTAAATCTAGATTCTAGATCTAGAAAATCTATACCCTAGAACTTTTATCAATAAAGACCATAATATGATGGGCAGTTTTTCCTAAATTTTAGGGAAGGACTTCCGAGCCGTAACTTCGTAACTTCTTGTAACGAGCGACCACCCCATCAAACACAATAAAAAGAGGCCTAACCCTACCCCTACCCCTCAATTCTGCTCTGTCGCTCATTACGGAAGTCCTCCCACAATTATTATAAGCATTTAAGTTAATAAGTCTAGATCTAAATCTAGATCTACACTAGTCTACAGGCTTTCGACTCACGTTTCTTTGATTTTGATGGTCGGCCGAGTATTGTAGGCCTATTGAATGTATTGTCGAGTCGTTCTTATTTACCTCCCTTTGCCTTTTCTTTGTTTTGGCTTCCGATCTCCAGATTTTTCCAAATTTCTAGGCTAGGCCAAGAGTATCCTGTCCCCACAGAATTCTACACTTAGATTTCGACTGTGCCTGTCCCAAAACCATTAGAATAATAAAATTATTATTACTTTATAGGCCTAGGGAGGCCCTAACCTCATATTTACTCTAAAGATGTTTCGGATTATCCTAGCATAATATAAATCTGAAGTCTGAATAGTTTTTCATTTATCAAAAAAAAAACCAACCCAAAGTGAATTAACAAGTTTTAACAAACTCCATCAACTGCAAGTCAGAGTAAACTTTTGTTTTGTTTTGATGAACTTGGCCAAGAAAGTATCAATGAACAGTTCGCAAACAGACTACAACAATAAAAAGATGAAAGAAAAAGCGATGAAAACTATCCATTCAATAATGTCGTCATTATAATACAAAGTTCTACATGCACCCTGCTCAAACAACGATTAACGATACATACTAAATGTGCCACTCTAAATGTAGGCCTATGGTCCCTAAAACAGACGTTCAAACACCGTACACCCCCCTTGCCTCATTGTTTTAGTTAGGTTTTACGGCGACCCAAGGAAGTTACTGCACAAGGTCATATTATTATGAACGGCAAGGGGTGCATGGATGCTGAAATACACAACTAGATGTGTACGTTCAGGGTGGGTGTCAACAGAGAAGTCCAAACGGAGAATAATCAGGCTCCGCTCAACACTCTTGCCTCAACCAACAGGGCAAAGTATCTGCTTCGACTATATTCAAAGCACCCCGGGTTAGTTCACAAAAGAGTGACTAACAACATACAATAGAAGTATAAAAGGAATAACGACGATAGTAAGGACAAGGAAAGAAAACGCAACAGTCCCCCCTATGTTGTTCCGGCACAGTATGAGCATGACATTGATGAATCAGCCCTTTTCCAATTCTACAGTGCATAAGAACATGTTAATACCCCCCCCCCCCTTTTTGGAATGGCCTAAAACCACCCCTTCAGGCCTTTGAAATAAAAATTCCCATAGGAAAATATTTTTATACCCCCCCGCCCCGCCCCGAGCGTGTGGTGTGAGAGTTTTATGATATTGCGAGTAGAAAAAAGTAGGTGTGTGTGTGTGTGTGTGTGTGTGTGTGTGTGTGGGGGGGGGGGGGGGGTGCCTCGAAAACAAAAGACAGGGAAGCATGGCGTGTATAATAATAATGTCACGGTGCATGTACTGCGATACCAATAATATATGAGCCAACCATGATTCCAAAAAGCATGTCTTCACATGACCATGTCTTGAGTTGTCTCAAAGGGAATTTGAATCGAGCGTCTGTTCCTGCAGCCTGTACATTAAAGTGTCTTAGGCACTGATCAAATGTAGGAGGTCAAGAGATTCTATACTCACTTTGAATGTTGTGGAACTTACTTCAGTAGCCTTCATCTATGTAAGAAAAAAAAAAGAATTATAATGAATAATACCAAAAATTAACTTCTCCACGTGATTTTTTTCTCTCTCTCTTTTTCGTTCGGGGGGGAAAAAAGGGCGGGGTGTGGGCATTGATTTAGGAAACAGCAAACATTACGATTGGTAGACGTAGGCAATAGCAATTTTAAATTGTTTGCGGCGCCTGCAAAGAAGTTTAATTGATAGGAAATTTTTCCGATAATTGCCCCACCCCCTCCCTAACTTTCTCTCTCTCTTCTTTCTGTCTTTATCTCTCTCTCTCTCTTCTTTCTGTCTTTATCTCTCTCTCTCTCTCTCTCTCTCTCTCTCTCTCTCTCTCTCTCTCTCTCTCTCTCTCTCTCTCTCTCTCTCTCTCTCTCGAATAATCTTAATGCCCTAGTCTAATCTTCGGCATACATAATTATGACCTAATTGTGTTACAAGCGCTGTAAAACGCTTACTAACACCATGACTGCTGTTGACTGAAATGCTGTTCATTTTTTGTCTCCGGTCCATCATTCCTGTTTTACGACGTCGTTGATCAAAATTCCACAAGCAACAGTTGTGTTTATTTTAATATTATTGTTAGTTAGTCAGTTTTGTAAGTGTTTTTTTGGGGTGCTCGCAACTGCAAAAGGTCATATGAGCGCGCGGGACACATTAAACGTTTTCAGGGAGGTTCTCGTGGCCTAGAGGTTAATGTGTTGGCCTCTCATTTAAAAGTGCCAGGTTCGAGTCCGGGTAGCGACCGAAAAATGTTCTTCTCTAAAACTGTCTCCTTCCTGCTCTCCAGCAATGTTCGTTCTATCGTCTGCTTTCGTCTCCTCTTTCTGCCCCCCCCCCCAATCCCTTACTCCCTCACCTCCTTTGCCCCCTCCCCTGGGCTCCTGACTCTTTCTACAGCCTTTCTACTGCAACTCCTTGGCTCCTTCTTACTGCTGTCGTTCAGCCACACCCATGATCTTCTGGTAGGAAAGATCTACACCTAGCCTTCTCGGACAAGGGCGAACAATCTCGGGGGGGGGGGGGGGATGGGATCGAGTGGCCTTTGTACAAGAAAAAAACTCAACTCATAGTTTTAAATTTTAGCAGTATGTTTCGTCCGGCTTCTTTGGCAAAATTCAAAATGTTCTACCTACTGAAAAAATTTAAAGTGTCCCGCACCTTATGCAGTTGCGAGGGCCGTAAAATGCTTACCAAAAAAAAAAAAAAGTAAATAGAAAAAAATTTCAGTTGGTAAGAAATTTTGAATTTTGCCCGGGTGACGGCTGAAGCCTACTCTCATCGATTTTAGACCACCAAGGGATCTTAAACGTGCGCAACTTGCATACGGGACGTCCTAGATTTTCTGCACTTGTCCGCGAAAAGGCTAGGTGTAGATCTTTCTTACCAGAAGATAGGGGTGCGGCTGAAAGACAGCTGTGAGTGTAAGGAGCCAAGGAGTAGCAGTAAGCTTAGAAAGGCTGCAGAAAGAGTCAGCAGGAGCTCAGAGGAGGGGGCAAAGGAGGTGAGGGGTGGGGGGCAGAAAGTGGAGACGAAAGCAGTAGTAGTAACCATTGACAGTTACGTCAGGTGGGACTAGTCAGCTCAGTTTGATGCCACTCATGTCGTAAAAACAATGCGCATCACTTTTCTCTCCTCGTGTTTTCTGTGTGCTCTTCATCTTTAATGTCAAACCTCCCACCTTCAACCTCCCTAATCCATTTCCTTACTACATGTATTCGAACTGACGGGGCATTATGCTCTATTCTGTCCCCGTGGTTTTATGCACCCCGCATTTAGCAACATTTGATCATTTTTTGCATAATTTCTTATTATTTTCCTTTATCATTCTGTTAAAAAAACCAGAATCGCATAATTTCACATTTTTGGGCTCAGTTCGCATAATTTCAGAATTTTTCTTGCATAACACGATTGGGGCAGTCTATTACTATTACTTTGTATAGATCACCATGGGTTTCAACTGTGGACTTGCCGGGAAGAGTTGAACATTTGATCACAACTCGGACATCGTAGCATGAGAAGGTTGCACCAATATTTTGCTCAGCAATTTTCCTCGAATTTGCCTTGGACAAAGTATACAAGTACACCACACTTGACATATCACAGCTCTAGGACCTGTTCACCAATGCACTTGCAACTTGGCATTGAGATTTCTTAGACATGTCACAAAATTTAGTGGCTGTTGGTTGGGTACTTTTTATTTTATGGAGGAGGGAAATTTTATTCGGAGACAGACCTCGTATGTATATTGGATTTTTTTTTTTAGTAACGATTTACGGCATTCGCAACTGCATAAGGTCATACGAGCGCCCAAGGGGTGAATGTAAATAGAGATGTCCAAACGGTGAATCAGGTTTACTCTGCTCACTTCTCTAGCCTCAACAGCACAAAGTCTGCTTCGACTATCAAGACACCACGCCAATAGCAGTTCACAAGAGAGTGACAAACATACAAAAGAAGTAGAGGGAAAATGACGATAGTAAAGATGAGGAAAGAAAAAGCAGCCAATATAATCGACAGGGAACTCGATCATGAATGGGGGACTGGACAAAAGTCGTACTGTGTTTTTAAACCTGGGCAATTTTCTGAACATCTGAACCTCCAGTACAGAGGTAGTCATGCTAGGATCAGAACCACTGTCTTGACGTGTCTAATTTAGTGTCTTGATCAGCACCTCTGACAGTGACAGTGGTTGATGGTGAAAATTGACAGCCAAGCAAATGAATCCTATCCAAAATAAGAAACCAAACACAGCGACATTAGCGTTAGGTTAAAGATCAAAGAAAGTCACACAAATTATGAAACATTTAATATTTATTCTTCGTCACTGTCTATATCACACATAGAAGAAAGGGGAAAGAGTGGGTAGCCCCACTATATTAGCACAAATAAATCTTACAGAAAAGGTCAGTTCCAATAGATAACCACGACTATTTCTAAAAAAAAAGCCGAACATGGATTGTATGGAACTTTATCAAATCACAGCCTATCACAAATAAATTTTCTATTTTCTGATCTTCTTTTTTAGAGATCTGAAAGCAAAAAAAAAAAAAAAGGTGTATGACAGAATTTCCTACAAGTAAGAAAATATAAACCAACACTACCATACACAATAAAGAAATATTAGGGAAAAAAACAATAACAGTCAGTAAAAAGATGTCCTGTACATCTAGACTCTATAAATATATACATGACAATCCCTCAACTCAGAAGAAACTCAACAACAGTCCTACAAAAGAGCAGTAAATCTGGGGACCCTGCATCTTCTGCGGACGCACTCCAGGGTCCCCCAAGTCCCCAGCACCGGAGACCGGGGCAGCACCTTGATAGCACATTTATTGACACAAAAACAGCAAATTCAACAACAGGGAGGGGGGACTAACAATCAACTCTAATAGCTCAAAGTGACACCAAAAAAAAAAAAACAAACCCTAAAAAAAAAGGAGAAGGATGGAAAGTGATGTACATATGTATGATACATAAACTGAACGTCCCTCCAAAAACGTCACCCCCAAACATTACCCAGAACAAGAGACCCGATAAATTGATTGCTGACCTTCTCAGTCTTTTAGGGTTCTTTCCATTCTGGTCGGGTTTCAATTCCGAGAGATTTAAAGCTTGTAGTTATTTACTGAAACTCATGGTGTCATTATGATGAGCCATACGACATCAAAGAGAAATAAAATCACTTGATTTTGCTTGTGACCCTGGGGCTGGCACAAGAATATAGAATGTGGAAATCTATAAAAAGTTCATGTTTATAGTCCTCAGGGCCGTGGCCACAAATGTCTTTTTTAGTTAGTTTAGTAAGGGTTTTACGGCGCTCACAACTGCACAAGGTCGCGAATGTCTTTAAAAACCTTACAGCCCATTCATCTACCAAAATGAGGTGTAATTCATGCTGGTGTAGTAGTAGATAGGTACTGAGAAGAATCACAAGCTTTTTATTAACAAATTATCACAAGAAAACATTTGAGGAAGACCACAAATGGGTTGAAAAAAGTATCCTTGCGACTGCATATTGCGGATGATGGTACTCCCGAGGCGGTTCTTGCCGATTTCCAGTCCCCGGTTTAGTAGGCGTGGTTGGCCACAAAGAGAGAGTCGCCTCCGGCAGCGCTGCCAGATGAACCGCCGTACTTGCCCACAGCAGCAGCACCGTTGGCCTGGAACAGAAGACAACAATGGAAAAATGTGTTTAGTAGAGGTTTTACGGTGCTCGCAACTGCATAAGGTCATATGAGCGCCAGAAGATTAGAGGTGTTACAAGAGAGTAACAAACATAAAAAAGAAGAAGGGGAGATAAGGACGATAGATGTTTGATAGGAAAGAAGAAGCAGACCATACCAGAGCACCCACCAATCACCCACATGTAAAAATGTGAAATGACACACGTTATAATAATAATAATGATGATAATGAAAAACAAACAAACTAGCATTTCCCTGTCCCCGTGGTTTTATGTACCCCGCATAATTTCGCAAAATTTGATCATTCTTTCCATAATTTCTGATTATTTTCCTTTATCATTCTTTGTAAAAATTAACAGAATCGCATAATTTCACATTTTTGGCCTCCCGATTGCATAATTTCAGAATGTTTCCAACATAAAATGACGGACAGATTTCCTCACTGGACTAGCAAAATGGCATGGCTCAGAATTTAGCCAAAATGCAACAAACCTTTCAATACTTTCATTTAGTTTGGTGGTACAGTACTATATTTTTTTTGTAAAAACCCAAACCAAAATGCGCTGGCAGTCACAACAGAAACATGCACGGCCCGTTTTACCATTACTAAAAGTTGCTGTATGCTACGCTCTACACTACGCAGCACCACAACTTTTTGGTAAACAATTGAGATGACACATGCGTGTGCATTTGAACGAATCGGTCTTTTTTTAAACACAGCTCATAATATGAAGGCATTTCAGGCACTACCTGTGACTTCTCTTTATACATTACTTGCTCAGTGCCTGTAATTACCTACACAAAACCTCCTGTTTGCTATAACGAACACTCGTATTCAACGAGATTTTAGGTCAGGCCCAGCGACCTCGTTGAATCCGAGTTCCACTGTAGTACATGAAGTGTGACTCTTTTACATAAAAGAATTGTATTATCATAGGACACAAACAAGCAGTCAGACTACAGGAACTTCAGTTTTAGTAAAACTTTCATGGTACCTGCTACACAAACAGAGCATAATAGGGATGAAAATTATAGGTGTTATTGGAGAGTAACACACATAGAAAAAAAAAGGAAGAGAGAAAAGGACGACAGAAGTTTAAGTTTAATATTAATAGGAAAGAAGAAGCAAATGACACCAGAGCTCCCTCCAACCACATACAAACAGGTCAGATAAGTGCAAAAGATTAGAGGTGATATAAGAGAGTAACATACACAGAAAAGGAGGACAGATAAGGACGATGGATGTTTGATAGGAAAGAAGGCGCAAAACCCACCAGAGCACCCCCTACCAACCACCCACAACAATACTACCATCTATCTCGTTAGTTTAGTATGGGGGTTTTACGGCGCTCGCAACTGCATAATACCATCCATCCGTGAATCCAGACTTACGGAAGCTCTGCTGAGGAGTTCCTGTTGTCCAGCCTTGACGTTCTCGTCCTTGCCTCCCCAGGCCTTCAATACACTGGCTTGCAGGGCACGGCCGTAAGAGAAGGTGAGTGGCCAGGGCTTGCGTCCAGCGTACTGGTTGATGGCGTTCAGATTGAGAGTGGCATCCTCCTCCGACTGACCACCGGACAAGAATGTGATGCCTGAAAAAGAAAAAAATAGAAAGTAAGTGAGTAAGTTTTTAATTTATATTTACAGTAGAGGGTTTTACGGCGCTCGCAACAGCATAAGGATCGGGAAAGAAAAAGCAGCAGTTCCCTGTTGTAGATCAGGCACAGTTAAGAGCGTGACATGAGTCAGCAAATTTACAATTCTACTATGCCTGAACGAGAAATGTCCCCACTTTGGGAATGGCCTAAAGACACTACAGTCAGAGACACTGCCCTTAGGGGTTAGAAAGTAAGTAAGTTTATTCAGGGTTTAAGGCCATTGGCCCACATCACTTCACACAAAACACTCATTTGAAAAATAAAGTTTCCATAACGAATAAGTACAGGTTGTGTGCAAATATCTCTTATCATGAGTCAAACATTGCATATTTCTGTCACTGGGCAGAGTCAGGCTGGGAGGGATTAACAATTTCCTTTGATGGACTAAGTGTGAACAATAGAAAATAAAGTGAAATTCATCTTCAATTTCATGAGAGTTACACCTCTCACAAAAAAAGAAAGAAAGAAAGAAATACAAAACAAAAAATAATGAAAAGACAAAATATTTATAAAGACAAACATATCCTGTAACGACAAAAGCTGAAAATACGAACACAGATTCAGGTTTTTTTCATCTCTCTTGGACATTTCAAATTATCAGAAGAAAGTTTTGCTGTCCATTAAGAGGTTCTCTTCTAGACTTGGTTAATTTTGGCGGCCAAAACATAGTCAAGGACAAACATTATGAGAAAACACAGTTACTACAAAGAATTTCAAATATTTAACAGGGTAACAAAAATAGTCCTTCACTATCAACTAAATTCTGCTCTGTGGTGTATTTGGTTGTTTTTGATTGTGGCAGGGGGTTCCAAGTAACAACATGCTCTTTTTAAAAAACTTTTATGTACTGGAAGTGACTTTTCAGTTTACGATCAAGTGAAAGGCCACAATGATTTAGGCTGGTTTTTGACTGAATGATTGAGTAAGTGTTTTACAGCACTATCGACTCATGATTTTGGCTGGTTTTTGATGGATTGATTGAGTAAGTGTTTTATGGCACTATCGACTCATGATTTTGGCTTGTTTTTGATAGATTGATTGATTTGAGTAGGTGTTTTACGGCACTATCCACTCATGATTTTGGCTGGTTTGTGATAGATTGATTGATTTGAGTAGGTGTTTTACGGCACTATCTAGTAATGATTTTGGCTGGTTTTTGATTGATAGATTAAGTGTTTTACGGCACTATCGACTCATGATTTTGGCCGGGTTTTTTAAAAATTGATTAGTAGGTGTTTTACGGCACTATGAACTCATGATTTAGGCTGGTTTTACTGACGAAACATCATATTCCACTGGATTATAATACTATTCAACATATTTTCCCCCAATCAAAAACAATTAGAGGGAATTGACCATTCCTCTATCACGCGGCAAAACTGACCAGCAACAGCAGCGGGCACAGTCCTGTTGAGGGCGGTCACTGTGGCCTTGGCAATGTCCGCAGCAGTGTACTTCTTGGTGCAGCCTTGACCAGCGGTCACCATGTTGGGCTTCAGCAGGGTGCCCTCCAGGAAGATGTTGTGGTCAGCAAGAGCTTTGTACTGGAAGGCCAGCACCTGCAGGGAAAGACATTGTTTGTTTTAGTAGAGGTTTTACGGCGCTCGCAACTGCAAAAGGTCAAATGAGTGCCAGAAGATTACAAGAAAGTAAAAAAAAAAAGAAAAAAAAAAGAAGGGGAGATAAGGATGATAGATATTTAGTAACAAACATAAAAAAGAAGAAGGGGAGATAAGGACGATAGATGTTTGATAGGAAAGAAGGAGCAAACCACACCAGAGCACTTGCCAACCACCCACAAGGGCAAGAGAGGTCAAGTACATCAACCCGCGCGCATCCAAGACAGGTGGGTTGACTAAAATAAAAATTCACATACATTTACTTTTTTTGCAGCAGCAAAAAATGAGAGAAAAAGTTCAAAAGTAGAAATAGCCTGATTTGAAAACAGCTGTAAGAAAAAAAACTGCAGTCTAGCACTCATACAGAGAATAGATTTTCAAGTTCCAAATGTTATTCTTTATACGTTTATTTCCTTTGTATTCAAAACAATGACAACATTTTTACACAACAAAAAGATTAAAGGACGCCTACCATTTCGTTATGTGCTCGTAAGACAGTAACATGAAAATAAAATAAAACCCAATATCTGAATCTGCACGCACACCAATAACTGCCAGTGGCCAATCCTAACACTTTACCTGCTCAGTGACTCTCTGTGCTGTTTCAAGGTCATGGTCTCCGTCGGGCAACACCTCCGGCTCAACAATGGGCACAAGGCCATTCTAGATGACGTGGAGAAAGGAAAAAAAAATAAAGATCATGAAACTGAATGAGTGAAAGAAGACAAAAGCCACAATACATGTATTATGATGATTTGCTTTGGTAGGTTTTTACAATACTTGCAACACAATAAGGTCAAATAAGAGCCGAAGATTAGAGGGGTTACAAGAAGAGAGTAACAAACACAAAAAAGAAGGAGGGGAGATAAGGACGATAGACGTGCGATTGGAAAGAAGAAGCAAACCACACCAGAGCACCCACCAACAACCGAGACACACACACTCAAATACACACACAGACAGGTATGATGACTGTTAGTTTTGTGGAACATAAAAATACAAGCAAGTTGCTATGAAGAAGGCTGAACAAACACGCACACAGGCTTTACAAACTGAAGAATGAGACAAAAGACACACAAATAACAATAACAATTGCATTAATACAGTGCATATCCACGCTCTACAGCATGCTCTTTGACTTTTTCAACAAAAAGGATTTCCTTTTAGGACAAAAATGTATCAGTTTCCCACTCATACACAACAATACAGTAATACAAGGTGTATAAAACAGGAAGCAGAGGGTTAATTCAAGGAACACACATAAAGATTTTAAATAAAAACATTCCGAACACTAGAACTCTTAAAGGGTTGAAGTTTAGTATAGTTCTTGTAAGAGTTTTACAGCACTTCACAGCAAATAGATCATATAAGAGCTGAAGATTAGAGGTGTCACTGAAGAGTAACATACAAAGATTAAAAAGGAGGAGAGAAAAAAGGACAATAAGCGTTTGACAGGAAACAAGGAGCAAACTACTCCAGCACACCCATCAACCACCCATGGGTTGCAGTTTAAAAAAAAAAGTTTTAGTAAAATTTCTACAGCACTTGCAACGCAATAAGGTCATATAAGTGCTGAAGATTAGAGGTGTTACAAGAGAGTTACAAACACAAAAAAGAAGGAGGGGAGATAAAGATGATAGATGTTTCACAGGAAAGAAGAACCAAACCACACCAGAGCACCCTCCAACTACCCACTTCATCATTGTTTACAATGAGTTTGCTATACTGAGCTGAATGGCTGCATTTTGTAAACACCTACTAAAACATATTATGTGAGGCATCGTGGTGAAATCAGGCCCTCGTCAATATATTAAAATCGAAGAAACAGACATTTTCCCACCAGTCAGGCAATTTTTTAAAAATATGTGTTTTTTGGCTCAACACCTTTAACTCCACACCAAGAACACATTTCTATGAGAATTTGACTGCAAACGATTAAAGGTACAAAATATTAATTTTTCAGTTTTGAGGTACTCACAAACTTTCAAAGTTACAGAAATTTGATGGCCACTTTCTCGTTAATTTTTTTGTTTTTTTGTTTTAGTAAGGTTTTCTTGCACTTGCAACACAATAAGTTCATATAAGTACTGAAGATTAAAGGTGTTACAAGTAAGTAACAAACATAAAAAAGAAGGAGGGGAGATAAGGGCGATCGACGTTTGATAGGAAAGAAGCAAACCACACAAGAGCACCCGCCTACCAACCACCTCCTTCAATCGTTAATATCTCGACTTTTATTCAAGATGGATGGGTATTTTTTTCATTGAAAGCAAGGCAAGTGAAGAGGCTTTTAGACGATACCAATAACTCCACATGCTCAAACATTGACAAGCCCCTGATTCCATCGTGCCATGACACATACATACAGCATTGCCGATCAGAGACAGAAGGAGCAAAGTGACCACAAACAACACACATTACACACAAGAAGCAACACATCCACAATAATATATTTATATATACACACCTGTTGGCAGATGCTGGCATAGCGGGCCAGAACGTTGGCGTTCTCAATCATTGCCTGGTAGGACGGGGTGAACTCGGAGATCTTGAGGACACAGCGCCACTTGGCGAAGCCACAGCCGCCCTTCTTGTACTCGGCGCAGCGCTCCGCCAGGCCATCCAGACCTGTAGACAGACGTGCAAGGAGGAATAAAATGTGAGGCACCGTGATGAAATCAGGCGCTCGCCAAAATAATGAAATCGAAGAAACAGCAGGCATTTTTTTCAGTCAGTTTGGCAATTCTTATATCAAATTTTTGTTTTTTGGTTCACCACCTTTTATGTAAATAGAAAAACACATTTCCATGTGAATGTTACTGAAAAATGTAGATTAAACGCACAAAATATGTAATTTTGAAGTTTTCAAGGTCTCTCAAGCTATTGAAGTAACCAAACTTTGTCAGCCCTTTTCTCGCTAATTTTACCGCTGAAACCTGGTGACCCCATCTCCTTCAATTGCAAATATTTCAAATTCTATTCAGGATAAATGGGCGAAAGCAAGGCAAATGAAAAAGTATTTAGATGATATCAATACCTCCAAATGCCCAAAAATTGACGAGCGCGTGATACGAGCGCGTGATTCCACCGCATTGTGACACAAATATTAATTTAACAGCTGATTTTTCACTTTACTCCTGTATGGGGATCACAAAATGTATGCTGTATATAAAGGCTATTTAGGCTATTCTGAAGGTAGAGAAGCACCAAGCACCCACAGTTACAGTTTTACGGTACTCGCAACTGCATTACGTCAAACGAGCGCGCGAAACACAAGTTGGCTGCGTTCACAACATGACAGTTCACAAAAAGGAGACGCCTATATTATATTATTAGGTGTCGGATGCTACTTATCTTGTATACAAAGAGACAAAGCTACAGAACTCTTTTGTGGTTGTAAAAAAATTATCTACATTTATACAACTGAACAGATTTTGAACCCCCTGGGGCAGTGCCACTGACTGAAGATGTCTTTAGGCCATTCCCAAAGGGGGGAAATTTCTCGTTCTAGTGCACAGTAAAATTGTAAATGGGCTGATCTAACGTCATGCTCATAACTGTGCCTGAACAAAAAACAGGGAACTGCTGCTTTTTCTTTCCTTATCCTTACTATCGTCATTTTCCTCTACTTCTTTTGTATGTTTGTCACACTCTTGTGACCCGCTATTTCTGGGGTGCCTTGAAAGTCGAAGCAGACTTTGTGCTGCTGAAGCTAGAGAGGTGAGCAGAGTAAGTCTCATTCCTTGTGAGGACTTCTTTGTTTACATCCACCACTCGGCGCTCATTAACCTTATGCAGTTGCGAGAGCCGTAAACCCTCTACTAAAACTAAAACCAGATTTTGTTTTCTTTCAACCATCTTATAGCACAGAATCTTTGACTAAAACTGTTGTTAAATATGCCAGCCAATCAGCAGCAAAGAGAAAGAAAGAACCCTTTCGCTGAGCTAAGTCAGAGATCTTTTAAGGAACCACTGCGAACTGGTGGAGCGGTTTTAAAACTTTAATTATGCATGTAAATAAAGACAGCAGAGATGTATACCACAACATTTCCATGCTCACCTTGTGTTGTGCACTCGTTGAGGGAACCGGCCAGGGGAACCACACCCTTGTCTACCTTGATGCCCGGAATGATACCCTGATCCTTCAGAACCTACAACAATACAAAAACATTGGAGTGAAGAGAAGCATACACAGAAACAATGATGGATATTTGCTGAAAAAAAAAAAAAAGAAAAAGCAAGACCAACAGAAACAACAGATGGAAAGTAAAGAACGACATACCGAAGACGCCCTTCATAAACCACCAGCACATTACCAAAATGAGGCTGGGTATATATAATGTACAAATATGACACAGTATTTGGGAAGCGACACAGAACTTCAAAGAGAGATTTTTGAAAGAGTTAAGAATTGCACACCAACATAGCCATTTATTTAGTCCAAAGGAAAAGCAATACAGACAGAAACAAAAGGGAAACAATTTAGTTCTCAACCTCGTCCTGCTCACATTTTTTTCATTTATAGGATCTAATGAAAGTCTCAAAGACTTTGGAACGCGAGTGAAATTTTATAAAAGAATATTTTTGTGTTATTTTCCTATTCAATTTTTTTATCTGACATTATAAATGTCAACGGTAAGCATCTGGGAGGTGCAAGACTAGCAGAAAAATCTCTACCGTAAGGCAGGAAAATAGCTCTGCAGGGAACAGGTTAGACGCATATATACCTGAACAAACGGTCTTCCGTCAGCAGTGCTCTGTCTGAATGTCTCGTCGAAGAGGATGACACCACTGATGCTACTGGCCACGGCGCTGTCGGCTGTGAACAGAAGCTCTCTGTACTTGCGGCGGTTGTCCTCAGAGTTCTCCAGGTTGATGTTCTGGAGACGCTTGCCCATGGTGCCTTAGGACAAAAATCAGGTAAAGACTTAATAAGACTATCGAAAAAAACAACTTTTTCCTTCCCTCAGAAAATAAAAGTTACTTCTTCCTTTAAAAAAAAAAGTCTTCAGTCTCCTTTCTAAAAAATCAATGATAGCGACGGGTCAATGAAAAATAAAAAGTTACCGCAATGTCAGGAAATGCTACAGAGTCAGAAGGTGTGGCTATATATTGCAAAAACTCCAAAGGTCATTGAAATAGTAAGTATCACAAACTAAACAAATGTATCTATACATAGTGATGTGAATCATTCAGGTCTCCATTTCTCCATCCCCTCCAGGCCAAAGGCTCTGCCACCCTCAACTATTCCAAATTCAGAGAGAAAGGCAGACTACACAGATTGGCATTTGAAAATCTAGATATAGTGAAGCGACCATTCTTCTGAAAAGTCTGATGAAAACAAACAAAAGCAGTCATTCTCCTCATTCTCTATACAAAGCCAAAAAAGAAAATTCATGGAAGACTCACCAACGGACTCATCAGCCGCCAAAATGCCCTTTCCTGGGGCCACAATGGCATTGGCGATCTGTCTGAGCTCATCCTCCTGTTCAGGGGTGAGGTACTGGACGAAGCGGGATGTGGGCTCTGGAGAAGAGAAAAAAATCCAACACACATATTATAGGCCTATTGTTTTTCCAACACTATCTTTGTACTGTTTACAACCCATACAAAGTTATATGTCTGCTTCTTCTCCAAGAAGTACATTTTTGGGCACATGAAAAGCATTTCGTACATTCAATGATTCATTTTTGCATTAGGAACACGTGTAACTAGTTTCCTCTACTTCTTTTGTATTCACTCCCAGTGAACTTGTATTTCCGGAGTGCCTTGTTATTTGAAGCAGACTTTGTGCTCTTGAGGCCAGAGAGTATAGATCTAGAGGCATGATGACATAGATTATCGAGGGCACAGTGCCAGGCCAGGCTATCTAATCTTGCCACAGCCATAAACTTAGACAAACAATAAATGGTGCTTTTTCGGTAGTTCCCACCCCCAATATTTGAGCCTAGATCTACATCTAGATATATAGATCTAATCTAGATATATAGATCTAGAATCTAGATCTAGATCTAGATCTAGATCTAGAGACCATATTCGCTCATTGAGGCTTTGAGTTTTCATTAATTTTTCTTGTTATATTTTTGACTCACGACCTCCAGACCAGTCATATTATTAGCCTTTCGAGCGTTTCAGCTATCTAGAATCTAGATTCTAGACCTAGATCTAGTAAGCATATATATTTTATAGCCCTGCGACATTATTATCTAACGGTAAGAAAATCAGTAAGTTGAAGTTGGCAAGCCAGAAACTTGTAACCCCAGTGTACCTTGATCGCCGGCAAACGAGGAACAACTGAACAAGGACAAGGTCATAAGATCCGGGGAAAATGCAACAGTTTCCAGGCTGATCAGGCTGCGATATTCGGCTTCAGAATTACATTGATGTATTTGAACCAGTACAAAAATTAACCCACATTACGAAGACAAACTTTAATTCATATTCAATAGCAAATCAAAAGCCACTTACTTGCCATGGTTGATCTGATTGCGGGGTGGCTGCACGGGCACAATAGATAGCAGACAGTGAATCCGAGAAAGTCTACGTGAGAGAGAGAGAGAGAGACTCGGAGGCACTTGTGACGCAGTGAGGTCAGCTCAGCATCGACCTTCACCTTCATAATTGTATAAAATACTTTGTACAAATTTAAGGATTGTTGTGCAATATTAAAGGCTAAATATTCCTTTGATATATTTTGAATGGTAATATTTTATTTGTTTTTAACAATTTTGACAGACATTACTTCTATAACGAAATAATAGCATACTAATATAATTCATAAACAAGGTTATTACGTCTCCCTGTATCGGTCGAGGTCGTTTGAGAGATCAGGGTCACAGAAGAGAGGAGTAAAAGTCGGCCAAAATAGAATAGGCCTAGAGAAATAGAAACAACAAAAGAAAAAAAAACCGTTAAAAATTACGCAGTAACAGAGTCACTATAGGCCCAACTCATTAGGCTAGGCCTATGTTTTCTTGTGCCTTAAGAAGATTTAAGTCGCACTTTGATCTAAATCCAGTATCGTTCAGGGGACTTAAACTTACACTTGGCAAGTAACCCCCTCTCCTGGTTTGTATTGTGGTGTGTGTGTGTGTGTGTGTGTGTGTGTGTGTGTGTGTGTATGTGTCTGTTTGTGTGTGTATGTGTGTGTTTATTTGATTGTTTGTCACTTTGGAGGTGTGCTGGTTTGTGTGCATGATTGCGTGTGTGCGAGCTTGACAGTAATGTGGGCGAAATGATTCCTTTGA